CCCCAAAACCCCAAAACCCCAAAACCCCAAAACCCCAAAACCCCAAAACCCCTTCTAAATAGTATTTTCTTGAATTATTATCTGTGTTTATTAGAAATAGATGAGAGATACATCTGTGAATCTATTCACATCTTCCTAATCTTAGCCTCCTTTGCTGCTTTCTTCTTGCTCATGTCTATACAGATCAGAGATAGAACACCTTACCTGCAGGAGAGGTACAAGCAGCTTTGGTTTTAGACTGAACCTTTTCCTTCTTATGAGAAGAAAGAATTCTTCTCTGGACAAAAGAAAATCCCTTGAATTTCTTGTCTATCGGGATGCTGTGTTTATCAGGATCAATGAGCTCTTTGAGGTATCTTGCTCTTAGCTCTTTCTCAATATCCTCGTTTCTTTTACCAATTATCCTGCCACTATTCTTCTTCGTGGAGGATGCTTCAGTTGTTACTTATAAAATCAAACAAATGATAACTTACATTTTCCTTGTGATCTTGCACTATTCTGTCACTTTTGGTCAGTCTCATTGCTGGCTGAGTATCTCTTCATTCCTTCACCAGAGAGTCTGTTCTTGATGAAGCTGATCATCCCAGCCTTTGGCTGAGGTGTTGAGGAGTCTCCATCTTTATCAGGCATCATCCTCTTGTTAGGAAAGACATGAATCTTATTGGCCTTAATGCCTGGATTAGTACTCGTAGTAATAGAACTTTTCTGAGACTCTGTCGCCCTAGAATCCTCTGCAAAACAAGGATTCTGCAGAGTGAGAGTTGACTGAGAATACCCCAACTTCTTAGGCTTATTCCTAGATGAAGCTAGATACTTTGAATATGAGAATAGCTTCTGAGAGCTCTTCATCTTTTTGGAAACCTTTTTGGATTTAGGCTCTTGAGGACTCTTAAACATTTCTAGACTATTCATCTGGCTTGATGTCTTTGCCACATATTTGAATGCCTGCTTTTTGTGTCTCACATTTTTTGGACCGGATTTCATTCTAAAGGTCAAAAAGGTGACGCTACTTTAAGGAGAATTTAGGAGACGACTTTTTAATGCTCTGTGTTAGAGAAGTTTCCCTGATCTTCTTCCCAGTAGATGCAAATGATCTTGCATTTGGTAATTTCCCCTTGCTACCAGCTGCGGTCTTGAGATATTTCTGGGACATTGAATGATCCTAGAATATTACTTCACTTTCTTACTTTATTCGCTGATTGTAAAGTTGTATTATTCTGTGTGAAATATATCCTGTTCTTATTACGGTCCACTTGTTCGTTGTACATATCTTTAACTACCTTCAGATATTGGTTAAGCTTGGTTTCATTCGTAACTGTTTTTGTAAATAATTCATCATTTCTACTCCTTTTAAATCTGATATTCACTCCAGAAGGACTGCTAAATGACAAACTATCATGTTTTTTTTTCACTCTTGATGGCTTTGGGGAAAATAAATTTGATTGAGACATAGATTTCACTATAAAGGTCAACAAAATTGAATTACTTGGCATATTTGGAGGTGGAGTGCTACCCTCAATGATTTCATGAAGAATTTTATTTCTTATATTCTTCTTTTCGTCTCTTCTCTCTTTCTATGGCTTCTTTCTTCTTTCTCTTAGCCTCTTGCTCAGCTTTTTGTTCTTTTTCTTTTCTGAGTTTCTCTCTCATCTCAATTTTAGGAGTCAGGTGATGTCTCTTAAAACTTGAATAAATGTGCATTGCCAAAGGAGATTCCTTTGGTAAAAATGTGCTTCATGTATGCACAGATTTAGAATGCCACATTTCAGAGAGTTTCAGCGGATATTTCTCAGAACTCATCTTTGCATTCATGAATCTGAACTCAGTTGCTATTCAGAAATATGCTGATCACAGTAGAATAAATTTATCCAGAATTTTAGATGTGCTAAGTTCTTCCATTATATCTTTCTTAGTGTCTTGTTCAGTAAGATCATTTCGGACATCTTCGAAGTTGAAAGGGTTCAGATGCATTACATTTCCAATATTGAGGCCAAAGATCCAGTCATTGTTATTTTTAACACCCAACAAGTTCCTTGTATTAATCTTGTAGGTTTGGTCATTGATCAAATCTTGGACTTCTTCCTCTCCATTAAAAGATATTCACAGGTCTTTCCTGATTTTATGTCCTAACTCTAGGGCATCCTTCTGGTTCTGAATGCCTAGGATGTAATACTCTTTAAACTCCTTAATCTGCCGACAGATTTCTTGAAGAGAGGTATAAATCTTCCCCATCTGGGAGTTTTTCTGTAGTTTAACTCTTTCTTCAAGCAGGACTCAAGTACTGCTTTTATCTTCACTTTGTAAGGAATAAGACTTAATTTTGGAATTCTTTGGTTTATCTGACTTTAATCATGAAATACTTCCTGACTTGAGCAATGGCTTCTCTTCAGAAACTTGCTTCAAATGAAAAGTATGCATCTTCTCAAGAGAGGAGTTCCGACTATCTGACCTATTTCCTTCTAAGGATAACTTTTTTAGTAGAAAGACTGACTGAGCTATTCCGAGAATTCTCTTCTGAGTATCATCTTCTCTTACGTCTGCGGGGTTCTTTTTCATCATTTTTGCTGAAGTATCTAGATCCTTCTAAATTTGCGTTTTTGGTCTTGTAGTTTTGCTTATTGCCATACTCATTTTCAAGGCTCTGTTCTCTAGGTTTGTACGAACTTCGCAACTTCGTTCTGTTCTTCTTACTGTTATTGTTCTTTCTTTTGCATAATTTGTAAGTCTTAAACAGAAGACCATGTCAATGCTTGACAGAGATCTTCCCATGGTCTAGTGCCTTCTCATGAGCATTAATCTGGCTCTGGATTGCACATTGTTGTAACTGGAAGCGAGCACAGTACCTTATTTTGTTAAATTCTGAGATTTCACTGGAAGTGGATTGCTTCTCAATAACGTTTAGTACTGCATCAAGGTATTCCCCGCACTTCTTTAAATCTGAATTGTTTTGGTGCACACATGCGAGGTTGTAATAAATACTGATAAGAAGGGAGTCATCAAACACATCGGAATGCGTCTCAGCATATTTATATGCAGTAAGGAGGTATCATTTAGCTTTATCAAATAATTCCTGTGCCTTTATCATTCGGTCTTCTTCGTCTAATTGATCTTCGCTTTGATCTGAATCTTCTTCTTCCTGCATTTCGATACCCTCTCTAATGAAGTCTACTGCTGAATTGTTGAGTTCTTTACATGCTTCTAAATAATTCTTGGAGTTCATCAATGCTAGGTCTAGAGTTTTGAATGCTAAGATTACCTGGCTGGGACCCTGACTCGTTCGAAAATGACCTTGAATAAAATATACTATACATCTCAGAACTTTTCTCCTTTTTAAAAGTCTCAATGGTTTCGTTCCTTTGTAGTAATTCTTGGTCTTTTCAGCTCTCGTTACTTAATCTGATTTCAGAATTATTTTGAGTCTTGTACATCAGAGGAGTAAGTCTTTGAATTCTCAATTTCATCAGGGATACTGTCATTATAATACTCAGAGCTGGTACTTTCCCTTTCTGAGGCAATTTCAATCCCTTCTTCATGTGTTTCTTCATTACCTTCAACCCTGATATATTGGCATCTATATTGGTATTAAGCCTAGGTGTTTACTTTCCGTTTGGGTTTCCCAAGTTCTGTGATTCTTTAGGCATGTGCTCTGCTGAAGAATTTAAATATTTCTTCCTGTTCTTCTTCCTATTACGAGCTTCATAAAGTTCTTCTATACCAAGTTATTAGACATAGATCATGAGAAATGTCGTTATTTAGGAAATTTTTTGGAAGAAGTTTTTCTTGAATATCTCAAACAAAATAGTAAAATTCGAAGTAACCAAAATACTTGCATGCCCACAGTCTAAGGATTCAGTAGATATATTATCCAATCAAGCCCATAAAATGTCTGATAGCCCTACCTGAGTCAGGGAATTCTTCCTGAGTTGCATCCTGGTTATCTTCACACAAATTTGGCCTATACTTGAGTTAGAAAAGCATTGGTAGAGGTAATCTTACGAATAGGATGGACCTCCTTGAGGTACTTGCTCTCTTAACCTCTTCAGTTTGCTATTATCAGAGCTATCGTTTTCTAAGTCATACATCATTATCCAGCCAAGTCTTAATTAATTTATTTATTTTGTCAATTTCTTGAGAATCACTGGGGTTTTGGGGTTTTGGGGTTTTGGGGTTTTGGGG